AGGAAAGAAAAGTAATTTTTTGAATTTAAATTCATTTATTTTCAGGATAGTAAAGAATTTGAAGCTGCCATCGCTTTGCAAAGAACAAAACAGAAAGAATTGATAGGTCAATTAAAAATTCAGTTGGAGGAATTAGAAAATTATGCTTATGAAATGGGAGAAGCAGGTTTACCTCAAAGTATTATTATGGAAAAACAAAGAGCTATCATTGGTATGTTAAGGAAAAAAAAACTAATTAAAAATCAATTACTGTTATTTAATTTTTGTGTGTAAAAATTTCATTTGTATTTTTTTTTTTTAGACGAATTGAAATCTAAAATCGATTTAAAAGTTGATGATATTGATCATTTAACTTTAGAAGACATTAGATTAGAAGTTGACAAAGCAATCGGTCAGGTAAGAATTTTATTTTTACTTTTGCATATGTAAATTTATAATTAAAAATCAAAACAATATGTTTAATTATCTGGCATGTATGTTCAGGAGTAAGAAATACTAAAATAATAACAAATACTAAAAAATTATTAACATTTAATATGAAAATGTACAGGAGGAAAATTTGTGGTGGATTTTAAACAAAATTCATATGTAAAACATTTTCATTAATGAAAAGTGTAACTTAATAATAAATGTAAATTGTTGCTTTTTTTCTGTCACTAACAATTTAATGGTTTCCAGCTTGTAAATCCTTTGAAAATGAAAGAACAGCTAGTCATACAACTTAAAACCCAAATTGTCGATCTTGAACGATTCATTGATTTTTTACAAGGTATGTTACCTTTGAAAAAGTTTTTTCATTTAATCAATTCAAAACTTATTATATCTTTCTTTAACAGTTAACATTAACAATCACATAGATTAGGTTTTTTAAAAACAAATGCATTTTAAATATTAAAAATTATTTCCTTTCAGGAAGTTCGGAAAATTTCAGTTCTGAAGGAAAAAAATACATGAAAGGAAAAACTTGTCAATGCACTTGTTCCATTCATTCTCTATCAGGCGATCATGGAAAATTGAAAAATAATGAATATTGGAAAAACAACACGAATAAAACGAAAGAGGTTAAATTACAAATTGTTTTTTTCTTTTACAAGCAATTACTAAGACTTACTACGACTTATAATTTTTTAATAATTATTATTACGTACAGGTACGAGACAAAACGTTAAACATAATGCGAAGAGTTGCAGCACTTTTACAAATATTTGCCGTATCACAATTCGGTTGCGGTTCGTCAATCACTCAATTTAATTCGTTAAAAAAAACAATGAAAATTCCTCATTGGGGGTAAATAAAAAATATTATTATTATTATTATTAAATGAAAATTTATAATTTTTACTCTCACATAATGACAATGATGTCTTTTTGATGCGCAGAGATTTGAGGGCAAGGTTGGAATTAGCGGTGGTTAATATTTTGGCTTTAGCTGCCGAACAAGAATCTCAAGATGCTTATGAATACTCTTCGGATAATGAAAATTACATAACTGATGGTAATGCCAAAATTATAACTGCCGTCCGTAAGCAGTTGGCCATAAGTATAAGAGATCTCATGCAACATGGACTCACATCGGTAATAGCAAAAAGAATTGAAAATTCGTTTATCAATAACGTTTTAATAATAATAATTAATATTTCCAGATCGATGAAAGCAGTAGTTTGGTGCCATTCATGGGTTGTTTCGCAAGCAAAAGTAAAGAACTTCCTCCAATGCACGCGTGGGAACTCATATTGAGATATTACGACGTTAAAAATGGAGCCAGGTATTCCCGCGAATAATATTTATTAAAATCCAACGTGACGCCTCCTTATTAGGGTTATCATTATTATTTTCAGGTTCAATTCCACGCCGGTGAGAAAATTATCGCAAAGTTTTAATTTGAATATTGTCGGAAGCAAAGCAATATCAAATAAGCAGAGCATGTTGGGAGCCATCGGTAACATAATGAGTTTACATAATCAATTTAAAAGAAGTTACGATGCTCAGTTTAAAGCTTTCATATGTGCAGCACTAAAGTAAGAATCTTTCCTCTTCTTCTCCTTTTTTTCTTTCATTTCGTGGCGGGTCAAAGGTTACCGATCCGAAAATTTATTTATTTGCTTTTCTCTCTCTCCATCAGTTCGAAAAAATTAGTTGCTTGGCTTCGTCTCATATTCAGATGCGAATCTCTCATCGATGCCTATTACAAACCCTGGAGTTACGTTTCCAAAACCGGATTCGAAGACGGTTTGCAAAGTTTGGAAAAATTAACTTGTTTGAAATTCGATCTTCCCGTCGATATTGCCGTTCATCATTTTCAAAACATCAAAGACGCTTTTTGAAAAATTCAAATTATTATTATTATTATTATTGTTACTTTTCCCCCCTCCCTCCCCTCAATCGTTTGATTTGTTTACGTTTTTTTTTTTTTTTACCGTTTTGTTATTATTATTATTATTATTATTATTATTTTGTTTTTGTTTTTAATCACAGTTGATGTTATCAGTTTAAAAAAAAATGCATGTACAGTGTTTCCCTTATCAAAAAAAAAAAAAAAAAGTGTAAAAATACACGTGTTATTAAATTATTGTAAAAAAAAAAAATAAATTAATTAATTAATTAATTTAAAAAAAATGTTACAAATTGTGTTATTATATTTACAAAATTATTTAAAACGTTTTGGATTAATTTTTTTTTTAAATTTTGTTTGTTTGTTTTTATAACGTTTTTGTTTTTATACAGAGTATAAATTTTGTTTGTTTACCAAAAAAAAAGTGAAATAAACTTTTAATTAAATTAATTTTATTATTATTATTATTATTATTGTTATTACGTTTTTTGTTTTTTTTTTTTTGATTTTATATATATATATAATTACAATGATATATAATAATAATAATTAAAAATTAATACTAAATATTCATATCATACGCCTTTAATTTTATTAATGTTATATTCACATATTCATTTTATTAATAAATAAATTAATAAATAAATTTATTCTGTCAGTTTATTTTAATAATTAATTAATTATTTTTTCCTTATTAACTTTTTCTCTCTCTCTCTCTCTCTCTGTTTATAAAAAAAAAATAATAAATAAAAATATGAATAAAATCATTCATGTTCGGGTATCTCAAAATTATTAAATATTTTCCATTCATTCAATCAATCAATCAATCAATCAATCATTTAAAAAAAATTTTGTCAACTTTTTTTTTTTTTTTTTAGGCAACAAACAATGCGAAATGTTGTTAATTTATAAAATAATGCATGGCATGGCATTTTTAATAGTGTGATATTTTTTTCTTTTTTTCTTATACCCGCTTATAATGTTATTCAGGTGCATATTAATAATAACCAGATATTTATTTATTTATTTTTTTTTTATAATTATCAATCCATTTTTTAGTTAAATTTTTTTTATTTATTTTATTAATTAATATTATATTTTTTATTTATTTATTTTTGATTT